AAGTTTTCAGACTTTCTCCTTAGGTCTGGAATCTTCTAAGAATGCTTTTGGCCTCTGGAACTTGGGTCACTTGGACTGACCTGGGACCCTGGCCGTGGCTGCGCCGTGCAGGGATGCAAAGGCAGATGGGGCGGGAAAAAGCCCCAAGATTTCCCAGGGAGTGGATTGAGTAGCTGTGTTGTACTGGATGCAAAGGATCAGGGAGAAAAAAGGTAAGCCTCGGAGCCCCAGAAAGGGGCTGGCGGGTGTTGCAGGACCAGGAAGTAGAGAGAGGTGAGGGCGGGGCCAGGACCAGAAGCGGTGCTCCTGTGGCCCAAGAAAGGTACTGAGTTGGTCTGGGTGAGAAGGGTCAGGAAGCAGTATTGTGTCCCCAGGTGTCTGGGGCCCCAAGACTAGGAATGGCACAGGGCCCAAACAAGGAGTACAGAACGGCGGTGGGGGAACGGGGAAATGGAAGGGGTGAATGTGGCTTAGGGTGTCTCCGCGCGGAGAGCTGCGCTATATACTTACCCCAAGAGGCCTGAGGATAGTAGTGCAGGCTAGGAGAGTTAGCCGGTGGTGCAGGCCCAGGGAAGTAGAGAGGTGAAGGCGGGGCCAGGACCAGAAGTGGTGCTCCTGGAGCCCAAGAAAGGGACTGAGTTGGTCTGGGTGAGAAGGGTCAGGAAGCAGTATTGTGTCCCCAGGTGTCTGGGGCCCCAAGACTAGGAATGGTGCAGGGCCCAAACTAGGATTATAGAACGGTGGGGGGGATGGAAGTGTGAATGTGGCTTAGGGAGTCCCCGTGTGGAGGGTCGCTTAGGGAGTCCCGTCGCAGAGAGCTGTGCTATAGACTTACCCCAAGAGGCCTGAGGATGGTAGTCTACACATAATTTTTAACTAACAAAATTAAATCTTAAAAAATTTCAAGGATTCAAGTTAGGAAGGGATGAACAGACAGAGCACAAAACTTTTTAAAATTTATTTTTATTTTTTATTTATTTTAGGTGCATGACTGTTATGACTGCATGTATGTAAGTGTACCTGTATAGTATAGTTCCGTTTGAGGCAGAAGTCTGGGGTTGGATCATCTGGAACAAAACCATAATCAAAGAAAATCTCATTTTGACATGGCAGTAATTGTCTATATTAATTTGTTGCCAATTAAAAAAAAAAGATAAAAGGAGGCTGAATTTGTAGAATTGAAAACCTGTAAATGAATCGTTTGAACACTGAGGAGATCAACTTGTTAGGTTCCTTTTTGGCCTGTATCTTTCAGTTTATACCTTCCAGCTTGAATACGAAATAAAAAAGTCGATCTTTTGAGTAAATACTCTGCATCATTTAATAAGGGCTATTTCAGCCTTCCCACACTCTTGGAATATTTAAAATTAAAGATGTCCTCTGCTTCCAGGAAGATGCTCAGTAGACGTAGAGTATCTCTGTTTTTTATCGACACACTTTGCTAACTGTTCCCATCTCTTTGCTTGAGGACATTGCCCCTCCTCCTTAAATCTTGTCAATGATTTCTTCCAACTCTCCTTGAGGGCCTTCTTCCTAACATACTACTCCAGTCCACACAGTCATCTTTTGTTGTTGTTGTTGTGTGGTTTTTTTGGGGGGGGGTATTCTTTTTGAGACAGGGTCTCCCTGTAGCTCCAGCTGTGCTGGAACTCCTTAACTCCTTATGTAGATCAGGATGGCCTTGAACTCACAGAGATCTGCCTGCCTCTGCCTCCCGAGTGCTGGGATTAAAGGCGTGCACAACCATATCCGGCCCACATAATAATCTTTATCTGCTCAGCTCATGTCTTTAACACAAGTCTTTTGGAGGCCCTGAATTATTTTTTTTTGCTTTTTCTCTTTCTTTCTTCCTTCCTTCCTCCCTCCCTTCTTCCCCTCCTCCCCTTCCCTCCCTCTCTTCTCTCTCTCTCTCTCTCTCTCTCTCTCTGTATTAGGGTTCTCCAAAGAAACAGAACCGGTAGAAAGAGTATATATGTATAAAGATTTATCAGTTTAGCTCACAGGATAGAGTCCGGGTAGCCCAACAATGGCTGCACCACACTGGGGATGCTGAGAATCCGTAATCGCTCAGTCCTCAAGGCTGGATGTCTCAGTAGTCCCAATCTGGCGCTGAAGGTCTGACAAATTCCAAAAGATCATCTAGTCTTCAGTCTACAGCAGCAAGACAAACTCACCAGCAAGAGAGAAGGTAAGCAGCAAGAAGCCAGGTGTTCTCCCTGCCATGGCCTTTCATATGGACTGTCATCAGAAGGTAACAACCACATTTAGGATGTGTCATCCTTGTTTAGATGATCCAATCAGGAAAATCTCTCTCCCTCTTCCTTCCTTCCTTCCTTCCTTCCTTCCTTCCTTCCTTCCTTCCTTCCTTCCTTCCTTCTTTTCTTTTCTCTCCCCCTCCCCTCCCTTCCCGTCCCATCCCCTCTCCTCTTCTCTTCTCCTCTCCTCTTCTCCTCTTTTCTTTCTTCTTTTTTGCTGCACAGTCTGTAGTGTCTCTACACTTTCTGTAGCCTGAGCCCAAAAAGGCTCTAATTGAGGGAAATGGGCGCGTTACTGTCCGTGGTCCTGAAGCATCATTGCTGGTTAAACACTTCTTTCTACTGCTTGCGTCTGGTGATTTGCTGTCATTTTTTCCCAAGCATCTTAAAGCTGGTCAAGCGATGGTAATAATGGGGAAACAAAGCTACGTAGGAGCCCGGCGAGATAGAGAAGCAGACAGATGTGCTCTCAAACTTGAGTTGGATGTAATTTCCCAACAATTGCAAATGTCACATTCAGAACAATAGTGAATGCAAAAATAGCGGACATAGTCAACGATCACATGGCACTAAAAATGCGTTCAACAACTGATACAGGAACGTCTATGAGTGCCAAGAAGAATCATATATGGCAGTGAGTGAGAATCCGGACAGGAGTATCAGCTGCTTTGCAAACGCCACAAGCCTTTTTCGACCCTTTTCTCTTTTGCTGTAATACAGAGAAAGGCAAACTTGTCACTTGGCATTATGGTAGAACAAAGATGACTAACTTATGCTTCACATTGGATGTCACTGTGTACCGTTTTTGCACCTAAGCATCTGTCACAGTTAGACCCCTGACACCAATCTACAAATTGCTGTGGGCTGGCAAAGCATATATGTCCTCGCTATGTAAATTTCTCAACTAGTGTAAACTCCAGGAAGGCAGAAACCAGCCTGGAAGATTTGGATACTTCAGCATACCTAGGGTCCTTAACACAGACAATTACAGTTCCTTTCACAGAGACAGCTTCCAACAATGGCTCGTTAAAGGACTAAAGGCTCCTTTTACTTTAACGCTGTCATCCTCTTCCACGCTCTGTCAAAGTCCAATGCTCCTCTTCCCGGGACTCTGGGACCTTTCTGAGTCAGCTGCTACCTCTGCTGGGCCCCGGGCCCTGGCCTCCTGCTGCCATGGGGTCTCCTCTTTCCCATAGTGTGTCCTCATCCAGCCTTCTGTCATCGATGCAGGTCATTCTGGAGCTCAGACCCTCCCCTGAGGCAAGATCCAGCTCCTGCCCCCACCCAAAGGGAAACGCGGTTGCCACGGAGACGGCACCTGCGCCTTCGGTGGCGCCTCGTCCCAGCCCCGCCCCTCGGGCGCTCCCGGCCGCGCGTCCCCGAGCTCTTCTACCCGAAGCCAGGGTGGGCCTGGAGCGCGCGGGAGCTGGCCGGTGAGTGAGCGGCCGCGCGTGCGCACTCGGTGCCTCCCCTAGCGGCCATCCGGACCGCTGCCTCTGGAGCCTGGGCTGGACGCGGGGCGGGCGGGGGGAGGGGGGAGCGGCTTCGCTGGCAGCCCAGAGTGAGGCGGAGACCCGGGCGGAGCAGGCGGCACCGCTCCTTGGTCAAGGCGGCTGCACAGCTGCCCTCACCCCTGCCGCTGCCTCCCTAGTCCCTTCGGTCCTTCCCACAGCAGCTGCAGCCGGACAGCCAGAAGGAGGAGGCCAGAAAGTCCCACCGAACCGCAGAGGTGAGTCCTGGGCACAGCATCCTCCGTCCTTTTCTGCCTCCCTCCCTTCCTGTCTCCCTCCCACCCTCCCCGTCCTCCCCTCCTTCACCGCTCTCCAACCCTCCCGCCCTCATCCTTCCCAACATCCTTCTCTCCTCTCCCCTCCTGTCTCTTTTCCAGCCGTTCTTTCATCCCTTTCTTCCTCTTCCCAGCCTTACTTCGTTCCCACCCTTTCTTCCCCGCTCTCCTTTCAGCCACTCGCCCTGCAGCTCCTCCCTGCGTGCCTTTCCTCGACCTGCTCTCCATCTCTTTTTCCCTCCCCGCTCTTCACCCCTTTCCCGATGGGAGGGTGGGAGCACCCTTGCCTCTTACAACTGTCCGGATTCAGGGGCTTTTGAACATTGGTCTTGTGTACCAAGAGAGACACGCTTGCACAGTGGATGTCCTGCAAGTGTCTCCATGATCAGGATTAAGGGTCAAATTGGGTAGAGTAGTGGGAACTGGAAGGAGGAGGGAGAGTCCAGGAGATGCACAAGTCTGTGCGTTTGTGCTCTGTAGCGTGGGGGTGGGGAGCTCTGTCGTTTTCCTTGTTGCCTACCGCCCCTCACACCCGTCTCCAGCCGTTTCTCTCTCTAGCTCTCCTGAGAATTACATATTCCCAGTGTGTACCACACTGATTTAGAACCCAGCTTTCTCTGCTTTGACTGTCGTCTCCAGGAGAAACCACAAGGAAAGAGAAGCCTGGAAAGGAACGAGAAAAAGCGGGGAAGGGAGAGAAGGGTGTTGGCAGTCTGTATCTTTTCCCTAGGCCTCTTTGGATTCATATTTTCAAACCACCCGCCCAATATTTGTCTTGGAATTGAACCTGTGTGTCCTTGGCCTGTCACTGCCTACTTCAAAGACATGCTCCCCCAACTTTAAGGCTTGTGGCTCTCACAAGCCTTATCTATGGAATCCATGGAATATTTTTCTCTGCATGGAAAACACCTGGGTAAACTGATTTGGGAGAAATAGGAGGCAGAGAGCTAGGAATGATGCACGCTATTGTTCTTTGTTAACTTCTGAATAATGATAATGGTTAAACAGGTTTTGGAGAAATGAAGCTGACTTTAGTCTGTAAACATCATTTTGATAGTGTTAGCTGTGAGATAGGATTTGACAGGCATCCCCAGTCACTGTCAGCCACCTTACAGGAATCCCTTGATTGTGCCTGTTCTTTGATTTTTCACTCAGGAAAAAGTTAAATTAGCTCTAGACATTACCGTTAAAGAACTTAGCATTTCAGATGGTTTTGTGTCACTTATTTGCACTGAATGCTATCTTTTACTTTGCTTTGTTTAGCTTATATCTCAGCTAAAGATGGCATGGCAGATCTCCTTTTTGCAAACATTATTACTAAAAAGTTTATCTATGCATGGAGGGACACCCATTCCAGTTTAGCATATTTATCAGCTCAGAGGGTCGAACTAAACACACACACACACACACACACACACACACACATTAAGAAAACGTTTAAAGGCCAATGTTTTGTCCTATTGATATTCTTCTGAGAAGTCAACACCCTCTCACCCAAGCCTTATTTATTATTTTTAAAACAGCCGAGTTTTATATGTAAGTGTGTGTTGTGTGTGTGTGTGTGTGTGTGTGTGTGTGTGTGTAGGAACATAAATTGGATTCACTGGTTTCCAGTAAAAAAATATAGTAAGGAGTAACCTATATTGATTTATATTTTTATTGAAATAGTGATATGCCAGAAATGTAATAGGCAATTTTAAATTTTGTGCAAATGTAAAGTAGGAGTTCAGATGAAGAGAATTTTCTTCTTAAGTGATAGAGTGCACATCTTATGAATGGCCAATACAGTTAGTCATATGTCTTAACATCAGGGAAATGTGAAGGATTAAGAATAATAGACATCTCCCCCATCATCTCCCCTTGGAGTAAAGAAACTCTGTTAGCGACTTGGCTGGTTCATCTTCCATGTAGCAGAAGCTTGGTTGAAATATCAGTTACTCATATCCTCAGACAGAATTGTGGTCAACCTGTATACATTTGAATAGTTACTGTGACTGTGAACTTGCACAGAGTCCTTTAGTTGGCTTATCATCAAGTCATTGAAAGACTTTCATGTAAATTGTGTATAGGACAATAATTCACTTTTGTTATAACTTACTTCCAAATGCCTTTCTCCCTACCAACATACTACATTATCTTTGTGGGATTTTGAGTGTGGGAGAAGCAGTCCTTACTTTTTCTGTGTTGCAGTTTTTCTGCTCAGAGTGATGAGGGAGTATCCCAGATATGAATACTCTAATTGCTATGGAAAGAAAAGTGCATTTTATTTGACTCCTTTTTTATAACATTAAGAAATTAAAGTTACTAAAGAACTAGAAAATTAAATATTTTATTTACAACAGTATCTTAAGAAGATGCATGAATTGAATAAAGTATGAGCTAGAAGAGGAATTAATGTATGACAAAAGCAATTTGAAGTAGCTGGGGTACAGGTCAGTGATAGAGTGCTTGTCTATCAAGTTCTTACCTCTGAGCTTGATCCATAGCACAAGACATAAACAAAACAATAAAAAGGTCTTGCCACCTTTATTAATAAACATTTTTACATATACACACTGATGTCTCAAGAATTTCATTCCCAGAAGCTTGTATCTTTCATTGCTTGGAACTTTATGATTTCATGCTGCAAATGAAGACCTAGTATATTACCCAATAGGAAATATGTACCCAATAGGAAATATTCTGGATATATTCCCTATGTTTCCCTCTCTTTACTCCTAACACACCAGCCAGCCAATGCTGAATAAAGACACTGTCTTTGACCTCAGTTTGCAGTGAAGATAACAGCTATTTGCATGAAATCAGGGTCAACTATAGCAAAGAACTAAATCTTTGGAGAGAGATTTAGAAGCCAGAGCAGCCTCACCTGTTTAAGAGCTTTGTGTCTGTATGTGCTATTTAAGAAACTTTCTTCATCTATGATACGAGAGTTGTAGTAGACTCTGATATATGGGGTTTTCTTTAAAGGTTAAATGTATTTAGCACATAACAAAGTAGCTACTGCATAAACACTAATATAATTAAGAATAAAAGATTTAAAAATTCTAAGACCATATATGATTATGCACGTGCCTGGAAGATGGGAAAGAAAGTATTAGAGTTAGTGCTGAAGTGGACAGAAGTCTGTGTAAACAGTTGTTCTGGTTTGATTTCTCTGTTGCTATGAGAACATGACCAATAGCAACTTGGGAAAGAAAGGGTTTATTTCAGTGTACAACTCGAGAACATGACCAATAGCAACTTGGGAAAGAAAGGGTTTATTTCAGTGTACAACTCCTAGGACACAATCCATGAATGAGGGAAATCAGGGCAGGATCTCAAGGCAGGGACCTGGAGGTAGGAACCACTGATTACTGGCTTGCTCAACATTTTCCTTATATAGTCCAAGCCCACCTGCCTAGGGATGGCACCAGCCACAGTGGGATGGGGCCTCCTATATAAATCAGCAATTAAGAAAATGTTCTACAAGCATGTCCAGAGGTCAGTCGAGGAACTTCTTCAACTGAGGTTCTCTCTTCTCAGGTGACTCTAGTTTGTGACAAGTTGGCAAAAACTAACCAGCACACCAGGAAACCATTTTATTTAGTGGGAACACTGAGGCTTCTGCAGAGACCCCAGAGGAATTCATACAGTGTGGGTACCATAGCTAGAGTCAAAGCATCGTTTGATGGGAGCACTGACAGATTATTTTCTAGAATATTTGGTAAACTGGTGAATGCATTAAAAGATGTTAAGTACATAATAATCATAGTGAATATTTTACCGCATTGTAGCACAAGTCAGTCTGTTGTTCCATGGCCTCCAATTTATCACTGAGGTTGAAGCCACCCAAGTGTCTTGTGTTTATAAGTTTTGATCCTTTGTTACACCCAACACTTCTTCCTCTCACAAGAAGCAGATACCAATGTCTGTGTCACAGTCAGACCCACAATATTCCCTTCATGTATTTTCCTTAAACTCTGAGGCAGTGGAACAAATATGACCTTTGCTAGACAATGAAGATTTAATACTGTGGTTATTACAACTGTCCCTTATATTTCCTTATCCCATGAGTATTCCAGGACTATATATCAGAGAAGATAAATATTTTTATTTTGATATGAAGCTAGAACATCTTGGAACAATTATATTTCTAGGAGCTTTATATTTTTACTATTGACATTAGCTAATTACTAAAGTTTTGTCATGGATATGCAAAATTAATAATGATTCCAAATAGATTAAAGTTTTTTATCAGGTGTTCTATTGGGAAACTCACATCTGGGAACCTGTCCTGATGAAGATAAATATTTGTTCAGGATGGAGTAGCAAACACCCATAGATGGTATCTGTTACTCAACCTTTGATTTTTAGTTGTGGTTCATAAACCATTTTGTAGAATTTTCCCATTGTCTATTTATCTAATAGCATAAGTAATATTAATTGAAGTCTTTCATCTGAAAATAGATTTCTAGAACATTTTCCCCATAAACTCAAAGTAACAGTATTTATACTGCTTATGTTTAATCTGCTTTTAATAGGCAGTCACAATTTCATTGCTTTCTCATGAGTGGTAAATCTTCTCTATTTGTTTTTGTAGTTGTAACAATACACAGAATTGATTTTATGAATATTATCTTAAGTTATACCAATTAAGCATGAATATATATTCTACCATTCCTCCTCAGTCTCTCTCTCATATCTAGTCCTTTGTTTTGTGTCCCACTGAGACTAACCAGGGTCATCTAAGCTTGCTTTACTGATTATTGACAGGGCTGGTGTTGTGTGGGCTCAGTTCAGGTAACTGTAGTTGAGTTGTGGTTGCAATACTTGTATGAAGTCTAGAGAATGGCATTTGGCAGCCCCTCACCCTGTCTTATTGCTTTTATATATTTCAGGCCCTCACTTCCAAAATGTTCCCCAAGGCTTGGAAGGGGTGCTATAAATGACTTGTTCATGCTTGT